CCTGCTCCTGCCAGCAGTGAAGGCCCCCCACCAGGAAGAGGCTTGCACTTCCCAGGATGCCTGTCAGCGTCCTTCCTGCTTGCTGCTTTAGTGGTAGGGGCATGGCCAGATGCCAGCCAGCATGGCCCCCTGAGGTGAAGGGGGCAAGTGTTTATTCCCCTCTCCCTCTTCTCACCCCCTGGGGGACCCCAGCCAGGTCTGCCTGGCCTGAGGCAAGTAACAGAGGTGGTGGTCAAGGCTGGCTGACCCTGGCTGCATTCCCCTGGTAGGAGAGGGGTCAGAGAGTGGATTAAACCCCCTCCCTGCCCCCTTCACCTCAGGAGGCCATGCTCTATATCCTTAGAGTCAAAGAAAAGGAAAGATTTTGCTGTAGTCAGAAAGGATAAGATACAGAGGAGAGATACAGACTCAGCATGAGAACAGGGGCAGCAAGCTAGAGGCAGCATCCTGAGACCTGATAGCAAAGTCACAGACTGGCAGGGGCAGCCAAAGAGCTGGGACTGGAAGCAGAGAACCAACATGTAGCAGGCAGGGAGCCAGAATAACCTCAGCAGATAAATACAGTGCAGTGGCCTTTAAACAGGTGACAGGGGAGCATCAGCATATGGGATGCCTTGGAGAGAAATGCAGTAGGGATTCTGACAAGCATGCTCCCTTCATGCTCTTGATATGGAGTATCCCTGGTTGAAGAATGGTTGTTGGTTTTGAGAGAAGCAACATGGCGAGGTGTGTACAGAAGTGCTCCATTAATGTTTTACAGTGCTGTAATTCAAAACACTTTTTATAGCACTATAAAGTTACAGCACTCATAAATGTGACAGAAGTGCATTGTTTGGTGGGGTGTGAGGGGGCACTCTGAGCCTCCCTGCTCTTTCCAGGCTAGGAGGCAGGGGGTTCTTCACAACCTCCTGGGGCTTATCTACTGGTCAGAAGTGCTGTAGATTGCTAAAGTGTTGTAAAATACAGCTCTTCAAATCTAATATTTCATTTAATAAGGGTCAGGTATCCAGGTTGTAGCCATATTGGTCTAGAAGAAAAGGCAGTCAGTCAGGACTTGTAGTAGAGATGATGTCTTTTATTAGACCAACAAGATTTAACAAGGGTTAATTCATAGTTTCATAGTTTCTAGGGTCGGAAGGGACCTGAGCAGATCATCTAGTCCGACCCCCTGCCATGGCAGGAAAGAGTACTGGGGTCAAATGACCCCAGTAAGGTGGTCATCCAACCTCCTCTTAAAAACCCCCAGGGTGGGAGCCTGCACCACCTCACTTGGAAGCTGGTTCCAGACCCTAGCCGCCCTGACCGTGAAGTAGCGCCTCCTGATGTCCAACTTAA